CAACTCTAACCATTACTAACACATATCTAATCCCAAAACTCAATTCACAGTTTAGTCCTAAACCTACTCCTCACTCCAAGATGAGAACTTCTCATCATAGGGACGAGAAGGTAGTCCCCACAAGTTCCTGTAATTCCCCACGGTGTGGAACATTCCAGAGAAATCATCCCCATAATATAACAAAAACATGACCTGACTACCACCAAGCAGTATACATCTCCCTGCGCTTTACCTCAGTGGCTTGAGCCACTTTGAGCTTGAATCTGTTTAAGGCACAACAGAAACTTCCTTTAGAGTGACATAAAACCGGTTTTAATCGGTCTAACAGTGTCTTTTGCTACCTTTTTTCCCTTTATTTATAATTCGATTACTTGGGGCTGTTTCAAATTCATCGTTGTGCCCTCTGTAACGATTGCAAAAGGATGAAGCAGTTTATTTAGTCACAGTGAATTTAAGGTGATGAGAAAAGCCTCTGATTTTGCACTGGGGGTTGCAAAAGTGTGAATGTGTCATTGTAGTTTCTGTATGTGTGTATCTGAAGACACAAATGCGGAAATGGACACACACTTCTCGCATCCAGTCACGCACACACTTACACCTCCCTAGTTTGATCCAGAGCTAGCCCTGAAGCTCCCAGAGTCTCAACAAAAGGCCTCTTCTATCCATTGTGCGAGCTGTGTGTTTCCCAGGAGAGCCTGGGCTCAGCGAAAGCGGGGCCCCAGATCGTTTTCGCCTGACATGGATGTTTATTTGCTCCATGGTCCAGCAGAACGCCCTCAAAAGGACTGGCCTGTGCATTTTGACATGCATGACATATAGTTTTTAAAAAAGTGAAGAGGAGCTTGAGGGTGTGAAGAAGGGGGGGTGGAGGGTGGGGGGTAAGGAGAGTGAATGACTTGACAGATAAACAGACATTTGAGACAGAGGGAGAGCAGATCTGTCTGTGAAGGTGTTCTCAGTGCACTCATATGAAAAAGAATATTCAGGATGTTCTTCACCATTTTATTTGATTCTTGTCTTTACACTAGTCAGCTTTCTTGTCAACCTTGTTCATAAATGTAAAACTCTCCCCAGTGGGTGGGTAGAGAGTTTTTCCTGATCTTGACAAGCCCTCCTATCTCTGACAGCATACTAATTTTCATCCAGAACCACTGAGCCAATGCAAAACAAACAAACTGCCAGAGCTACTGTTCGGTGTTCCAGCTTTAGCAGCTCTACTGCTATTATAAAGACAGCCTGCACTTGAAGGAAATACTTTTTGGCACATCAGTATAGATAAAAATTCCAAAGAATTCATATATCAGCAAATTAGAAAAACTGCATGCAAATTTTAAACTTAATGGAGAAACATGGTTTTGTTGTGTTTTTGCATTTAAAACAGGCACATCTAAAACTGTTTCTTATGTTGACTATCTCTAATGTTTAAATTCCATCTCTCAGCATACTTTCTGAACCCTTATCTCAAGGTTCCTTCAGACCAATAATACTTGTGGTCTGGCTGTGGATCACAGAAGCCCTCCAGGAGCCTCAAGTTAAAAACAAACAGGATAGGGTGATACCATCTAATCTGTTGATCATCATTATTGTCTAAGATATCACTATACTTCCTTCCATAAGCACAAGCCCAGCCTCCAAGCTGCATTTTCTCTCTCTCCTTTTAGAGTTAAAAGCGTATGTCTTGAAGAACAGTATGAATGTATGCCATTGTTGGGTTGCAACCAGACTCTTCAGAGTGTTGTTTGATCCCATGTTTGGCATGAAAGGGCTTTTATTTTTACCCGAACTGCCACATCAGCTATAAGGATCGTCCATGCAGGAGACTCTAGACTAGTTTGTCACTATCCTTGATTCTTTTAAGGGGGAAATTATTTAATTGTCTTTTATAATAATGAAACTATTACTTGCTATTTATATTTAGGTGCATGCCAAATCCTTCTTCTTCTTTTTATTCTTCTGCTTCAACTCGTTGAGGATTTTATACTGTTCTGGGGTGATGGAGTACTACAATATAACAAGCTCTTCATTTAAGTGATATTTTGCTAACACTTGTTTTACATAAATAATTGATTATATTGGTTGAATTTCTAAATAAAGAGTTGTTAAATGTACAAAAAAGTCTTCTGCTTCAACTTTACCTATTTATTGCGTTAAACACAAATGGTAGAGTTGCTGTTGCTGAATTTACCCAACCTGAATTTTACAATGTGGAGCCTGAGAACCAGGAAACTCATCCGAGACCAAAACAAGAAGAAGTAGTCCTGGATAAGTAGAAGAGGACAAGCCTCGACAAACAATCAAACATATAACAAAGCTGCTGGATTCTCCAGTCTTTTCGAGAATAACAAACACTTCTATATTTTCCTGACGTTTTAATATTTCATGATCTGCTTGCTGTTCGTTGCTTTCTATGCACATGTAAATAACCTGCTCTTACGATTGAGGCTCTCTTTGTATTTCAGGTCTACAACCTTAGAGGTAGAGATAAAGGGGTTAAGTGTGTGTGTGTGTGGGGGGGGTAAATATATTTTGTCATCTAATTTTTTTGGAAGGAGATTTGAGCAGGCATTCACACGCTTGTATGCATAACATCTGTGCCCTCGACCCATTTTAGACAAGAGGAACTGTACCCCGATTTGCATAAAAATAATTGACACTTCAAATTAGCCCTCCAATCAAATTGGATTATTTTTGTCAGCATATGTGCAGACAGTGAGTGCTGCCACACTAGGGCACTTAAAAAAGAGGCAACAGAGAGTAGTAACAGGAGGGGGCACGTCATAGAAGATTAACTCTATAATTTCATCACCCAATCATTAACATGTTGCTATGCCTTTTATTCAAAATACTTCAAATAAGACATTTTGACACTTTAGAAAGATATTGTAATTTCTTGTTTAATAAATAAATAAAATACATGAATAAATAAAAAAAATCACACTACTATGGTAGTTTTTTTAGGAATATATCTATAAGCTCAATGGCTACCCACACTGTATCATGTGCAGATTTGCATTACATATTCAAGTAACATTGGTCGTGCCAAATGGATTAGAACAGATTGTGTTTTGGGTTTCTTTCAATAATAAACCCCCAGATGTGCCTTAAATGTTGAATTGTTTAAAATTGCCGCTAAAGAGAAATAGTTCAGGATTAACCCCAGCCCAGAGACTAAGATAATCACCTAGATTTATGCAACAGCACACCTTTTACCAGATCTACCTCAATGTCTTTAGCTCCTCCTGCTGCAGCACGTTTTTTGTCTGGTTGTAACTGTAGCTTCATTCTTCTATTTTGTATCAGTTATTTTATAATCCGTCTGATTTTAGAGCAAGAAACGCCACAAACCTATAGAAGGATAGCTGCTGCATGTTTTTTTCAAGCCATCCCAGCTGACAAGATGGGAGCTGTTTTAAGGTTGAGACATTTTTCATAGAGCATAAGGATCTATGATTCATTTTGGGGGAAGGGGGAAAAAAGAAGGGGGCAGAACGTTTGGGAGGGGGTAGAAAGGGGGAAAAGCCTTGGCGCCAGTCCCTCTGAAGCACTCAGCATCCCCCCGCTTCTGGGATGGCGGATGTGTCTAAGTGTATCCATGACAACCTCACCGCATGCAGGGATACACCACAGCAACATAGCCAAGGAAAGTTGATGTAGGTCTGCATGTGTATGTGTGTGCGAAGATAAACTGAATAGGGCATGTAGCTTGTCTATATTAATATTCCTTCAGTATGTCTGACATTAAATATATATGTCAGATTTCTTCTTTTTTCATATTACTGATCAGTCTATTATCTTTATAATAATGGTATTGATATATATGGTGTAGGACCCTAATTTTTACTCGGGTTTATATTCATTTGGGATTCAGACATCTGATAGGTTAACAAAAAATCTTAAACCCAATCGTTGGGTTAGCTTTTTAAACCAAAATATCTGTTAAACTCACTCATGTTTAATGCATAGCCAATTTAAGGGTTGGTTGGCAAAGGTTTAACAAAACATGTATGTGTGTGTCTATGCCAGCTGCATTTTTGGCTACATATCCTTTTTTCATTCAGTAAAGGAACTAGATGTGGGTAGAGCAGCTAATAATTGTACTCAAGGAAGAATAGCAATACCTCAAAATACTATTCAAGTCCTATGTAAAAGTTTGATGCAGTAAATCTACTTCTCCTTGTCAGTTTTATCCTTTGGATAATATTCAATTCAATTCAGTTTATTTATATAGTGCCAATTCACAACACATGTCATTTCAAGGCACTTTACAGTTCAACTTCACTGAACATGATTAGTGTAAAAGGTAATATTTGAATTATAATGAGGCTGCTCTACAATGTAAATTGTTACAACTTCTGACCCATTGTTTAGATGTAGCTGGCAAGTTTCTGTCCCACACTGACCAAGCGGTTTCCTTAAAAAAAAGTAAACATAGATTTATAGACAGACACAGTCATGCAGAGTCTTGGATGTTCACACTGCAAAGACTGAGCTCTACTACATTCCCACTTGGGATGTGCTGAATTCTCACAAAGAAAATACCTTCAAAAGGAAGCGCTAATGAGTTCTTATTTGACCATGGAATGAGCAGAAGGGAGAGAAAAAGTTACTTCATGGGATATGGCCTATATACTGCATGCACATTTTCAACCATGCACTTCTACACAGATGCAGTCATGCATTTATACCTGAATCTATGGAAGCAAACTGAGATCCTGTGGAAGTATATTTACAACCCTGACTCCTTTTGAAGGGTTAAAGGGTTGGATGGTGAATCAAGTAAATAATTCACAATAGTTGAAACTCTTTCAGTGTAAGCTCAGAATAAAATGGGGGAGGGAGACCTGAGAGACTATGCAATGGCACACCATTCTCTACTTAATCCTGCTTACTCTTTATTTTTAGTCATGGAAAAAGGAATACGGTATTCCTTGTTTTCCATTTACTTCTGAGAGCTCCAAACATGTACAGAAGTTAACCTTACACTTTTCCTGTGTTTTTAGGTTCGATGATGATCGGGAGCTTTAAGTGACCAAACCCTCAAAACTGGAGACATGAGGATAGACGCACAATCTCTAAGGTAAACTCTCTCTTTTAAAGATTTACTCTTTTGGTCTTCTAATTTTATAGATAGGACGTCACTTTCAGGATTTAAAAGTAGCTATATGTATTCATTTTTCCAAAAATAATACTGTATCGCAGCATCAGCAAGACAGTTTTAGTCAGATTGTTTCTGCCAAACTGGTGAATGTAGAAGACAAAAGAAAAATAGCCCTAATGAATTCACCTGACCCACATTTTACTGTCCCATCCTTTTCTCTGGAGATGAGGAAAGGGCATTTAGACAGGTAAACCATGACTGGTCCCCGAAGTGAAAGAGGGGTTTTGCAGAAGGAAGAGGGGTTATCCATAATTTACCATGCTGTGGTTGCAAGACATGTAGGAGATAATACATTGCTTCCAGCATATAAAACAAAGGGCCTCATCGGTACTGGAGAGACCAGTGTTGTTATTGCATGCCTGTTTCTATATATACCGACTGAGAAAAAACAGCAGATGTTTCCTTCAGTTTTAGATGAATGGACAGAACTGCAGGAGAAAGAACGGGACAGTAATGGTTTGATAGGAATAGCTGAGTCTGTCATGGTTTTATACAGATGTGATGTTTATTGATTGCAAATTACTGGTCAATCACCTGTCCAAAACAAAATAAAACAAAACCACATGATGGGTGAAGCTATGTTTGTAAGTCAAATAGTATTTATTGGATTTGTGTATCTGATTAAAGAATGTGTGCACACTTTCCTTCTATTTTAGGGGTTTACTCAGCCGACTGTTTTTCTGCAGATGGCACCATTTCAGCTTTAATGGAAAGCTGATGGGATTTTACTGCTGTCTGTTGAAAACAGCAAAGCTATACAACTTCATCTACCTGTTGTCATACCTGGGGCAGAAACAGACTTAACTGTCTGGCTCAGTCAGTTTACTGAATGATCGTCTGACATATAATCATGTTTCATAAATCAGAGAAGATTTCACAATTTTTTTTTGTTCTAGATAAATATACTTTTGAGGTTTAGTAGAGCATAATTTGCTTATTGATATGTCTATGTAGTGCAACTTGCCTATGGCTACAATATTTAGATTTGCTGCTTTTGCTTACTTTCTCCTGTTTTGTGGAAAATAAAGGCAAAACCGTTGATTGTAACTAAGCATTTTTATGTAAAAAGACATGACATATTTTAGCTGAACCTTGTGTATAATGTTATGTTTGCTTGTTATTCTTATTAAAGCAAGTGTTAAATATTTGCAGCCTAAATGTCTGTTTACTATGAAAAGCAGTGTATTAGAATCTTTATTTGGTACAGTCCAGAACTGGTCATTATGGCTAAAGTTAGCAATTACTGTGAGATATTTGCAAAGACAAAAGCCAAGCTCTTGAAATTAACTTGAATCTCAAAAATATTATAGCCCTACGTATTAAACATACTGAGAAAAAAAAATATGTGAATATATCCCAGTGAGATTACCCTTTATTTAAAGCTAAAGTAGCACAAAAAGCAAAAATCTGCTTTATTTACTTTTCTCAATGAACCAGTTTCCCTGGCCAGATATCTGTAATATTTTCTTTTGTTTGTGCATGTTTTGGACAGAAAAATCTTCAAGGTCAGACAATTTCCTGTGTAAATAATCATTGTCATGCATATTGGTTGCTGCCCAGTGCAAACAGGACAGGCATAAACCAGCCACTGCATAAACTGCTGCTATGTTTTTGAGATGGGCAAAGAGAAATTGATTAAGGGAAACAGCATGTAAATATTTTCTGTATTTTCTTCATTTTGCTGACTCTTACTGAATAACTTGATAGAGTGATAATCACTTATTTCCAGCATCAACTCCCCTACCGTTCTTCTAATATCTGACAAAAAGCACCCCTACCTCATAATGCTGCAACCACCATGATTAACATTACGGATGGTGTGTTTAGGAGTATGAGACATGTTAGCTTTATTTTTCTACTTTTGGGTTTAGGCCAGAAAGTTCAAACTTTCATCTTAAAAGTCAGACTTGCTGTGACTACATCCTGACTTATGAGAAACTTTCAACTTTTCAGCTAAACTTTTTTTTTTTTTACTTTATTTTAACAGTTGGTTTTTCTTTTCTTAATTTTTACTTAAACACCAGATTGTTAGATGGTTAGGTAATTTTTATATTTTTTTTTTCAAATAATTCTACCACATGAGCTGTGGAAATCTACTCCTACCTTTACCACTGGCTGCTTTTTTGACAAACTATTTCTTAGCCCTGTGAGTCACTCAAGAGTCAAGCAACCTTGATGAGGTTACAGTTGTGCCATCAACTTTTCATCTTTTGGTCTGAGGTGTTAAATATGAGGGATATTGTGTTAAAACTTACTTGTAATCCTTACTTGATAAGCTCAACAGGAAGGCCATCTCTGTGCTTTAATTTCCCCTTGACTCCAATGGAGGTGGTTGGAGACAGAAGGACTCTGGCTAAAAAAACATAATTGTTAGACAATCCTACGCAATACACAAATCTGTTACTGAACTGAAGAGCTACTTTGGGGGCAGATTGCAGGATTCTTAATGCACGTTATTGTAGATCATTCCTACCAGCAGATGTTATACTTTATAACCATCACTGCTTCCAAGCGCACATATGACATTTGCTTTTTTTTGCTGACTTTAGGCCCGTTTATATTGTAATTTGCACATCTCTGCTCTTGCTGCTTTAACTGTCACTTATTGTGAAATCGTCTATTTAAAATAACCACAACCAGTTGTATATTCAGTCATTTTATCAATAACTTCTCAGTATTAATGTTAACATTTTTTTGCCGTTACCATATAGTATTTTATACTTAATTCAGTTTTATGTACATTTCTAAAATCTTTTATGCAATTTTTTTTATTTATTTTTTATTTAAATGCATTTCTCTTGTTGCACTGAAATTCCCTCATTGCATGACAATAAATAAACTTCTTCCTTTATTTCTCTGGGGATGTTCTTTGGTCTTTCTAAATCTGTGTGTTTACATATATATTATCTGAGGCCTACACAGATACTCAGATTAGATAACACACAGGTGCAAAGCCTTTCTCTTGAAGCATATTGAAGTTTTTGGTTGTAATGAGACAAGATATATAAAAGTTTGAGTCAAATGAATACTTTACAGGGACCTATGAGTTCTATAGTTATGGTGAAATCTAATACGGGATGTAATGCTCTTTATATACCTGGAAGAGCTGAGGTGAAGGTAATCCATGTTAGATTTACCTTTTAGAGAAGATCCAATAAAGTTTTTTTTTTTTTTTCAACCTTAAAGCCTTCCAGTTTTATCTTCTAGAAAATAATAAGGAGCTGTAACCCAGACACATTCCCAGGCCTGTGTCCTCAGCTACAAAATAAAACTCCCTTTTATGGGCGTCTTATCAGCTTCTAAGAATATTGTGTAAGACAATACATGTGAGAAGTGCAGAGTGAACAATGGGCAGAAAGTGCAGTTTGATATGAGGGGAACTAGTGTCAGTGGATATTGCTGAGACCTCTGTTGCCTCGAACACACTGGAAACTCATAGCTAATGTAGCTCCTTTCGTCCAGGGCTCATGATTTGCAGCGTGCTGACATTCTCCAACAAGTTATGTTTCCTAGACTATAGCACTGATAAACTCAGCGGGGAATGTGGTCTTTTGTTTTGTTTTGTTTTGTTTCATTTTGTTTAGTTTAGTTTTGTTTTGTTTTGTTAAAGCTCAAGAGGCATCTTATCCTATCCTTTCTTTTCATAACCATGGCATAGACATTGTTTCCATTAAAAGTAATACATTAACCATTTCAGGTTATTCAAGCAACTAATTTTTTCATATTTGCCTTTTAGGTGGAGGAGTTATTTGGATGAAGAAGGAACGAAGCTAATTTTTGGCCAGAAGAAGCTGTGGGATTCACTGGACTCTCAAAACATGGCAACATCGCAAAACAGATGATACAACGCTTTTGTATGAAACTATACTTATACTAGGAAAATTATGTATTTTTATATGCTGGCAAGAAAAAAAATACCAACAGACTCAAAATTCATGAAATGGATGCAACTAAATCTTGACTTTCGGCTGCTCAGCAAACATATCTCAAATCCTAGAACAACTGAGGAGAAAATGAACAATTACAGATTGAATAGAATCACAATAGTGGCAAAGAATCGACGATGAAAGGCAGCTCTATATCTGCCTGTGACCGCTGCAGCAACTGGAAGATGTCCTTGTGAACCAAGCTTTCAACAAGGAGCCCTAATAAAGAAACATTGTTAAAGAATTTAGTTCTAAAGAGAAATTTCCTAAATTCTGTGAACCACTGAAAGAAAAAAAGTCTCTTTTGGGTCCACAGCCATTTTGTCAGACCATCCCTAGATACTGATTTCAAGGTACAGTACATTGGGAAGAATATAGGGCCCAGTTATCATGGTATACAGTTGTTTCATATTAGGGTTAGGGTTTTCTTGGTACCATGGCAGTTTTCATGGGTCAGCTATAATATATTCAAGTTAGGAAGTGACATATTTGTTATAGACCCAAAAGAGCATAGTTTTGGAATGACCAGCCCAATACTTGGACCATAAATGTATAGTGGTGGATGTTCTTTTTCTGGGTGTATCATTAAAATAAGTGGTCCTCCTAATTGTCAATCATTCTGTTAAATTGTTCATGTAAAGTCGTCCTACGTGCTCATACCCATCTTCACTTACAGTGCTAGTGGTGAGTCTGACATAGTGGAAAAATTAAAAATCTTTCAGAAAGTAAGCTTGTATGAGTGATGTAAACAGCAACTTTTGAAAAGAGCGTGCACGAGGAGAAATGGGCTGGTGCACGTGTTTAATATGCATTCCCTCTCGGGAGCGGGTACAAGGTTGTGCATGTGCATTTTTTTTCAAAAGTGCAAAGGACGGGTCTTTTACATTTTCCGCGAAAATCCCCCACTATACCTTTAATCCAAATGAAAACCTGTAAGACGAGGTTTGCTATGCTTCTTCTGTGGTAAAACAAATAAAATCTGAGAATCTCTTAAGTCGGGATTACCGAGAAGTTCTTATCATGATATCGTTCAAGCTTGTATAAAAAGTATTACCATGAGCTCTGTTTTACTTTTATAAACACATTGAAATTTTGTAAACTATTTTAATCAATTTTACTCTATAAAGCACTTTAAAAAATGAATGAAACTGATTGTTTACTGTTGACCAAACTGATAAAATGTCCATTACTTCGTTCCAACAGGCATCAGTTTGTTTAACACATAAGGAAGCCTTCTGAAATGTGTTGAAAATTATTTCCCTCATTAAAGCCTTCTTTGTGTAAAAATGACTGAGTTTATCAAGGAGATTTCTTGACAAGTAAATAAAGATTTTCCTTCACTGAAACACTGCTTTTGGGTATGAGTTATTTCCTCCCTTCTGTGCAATGCTGTGGCACTCCAGGCATAAAGAACAGTATGCCTGACATAATTGGGTCCCTTTTGGCTGTGGAAAGAGCATGCAAGCTGATAAAAGCTGGCAGGATGATCAAAGCGCCAGAGCCTCCTGATCAACACCGTACACCTGACACGGTTGTAGTTTATCCAGACAGAAATCATAAAATATCGTCACCTTCTTAAAATAATTGCCTAAGTCATTTTTTGCAATTTTTCAGGAAACACAAAAAACTAAACCATTTG